CTTTCAAATAAATAAATAAACCTTTTTAAAAAAATTAACAACAACAACACATTTATTTTAATGTCTGGAGCTGAGCCAATCTGGCCAAGAGCTAAGAGTCTCCTCCAGGTCTCCCACGTGGGTGCAGGGTCCTAAAGCTTTGGGCCACCCTCGGTTGCTTTCCCAGGCCACAAGCAGGGAGCTGGATGGGAAGTGGGGCTGCTAAATACAAACTAGTGCCCATGTGGGAAACTGGCACATGCAAGGTGAGGACTTCAGCCACTAGGCTACTGAGCTGGGCTCAAAAATAAACAAATCTTTTTTAAAAATCTGACTTTCTAATAAAAATAAATAAATCTCTTTTTTATAGAGATTGCTAATGGTAATTTTAAGTAACATCTGCCTTTCAAAAAAATCCTTCTTTTTTAAAAACAACAATAACTAATAACCAATATGCCATGAAAACTGGTTTTTGGAATAACTTCTTGTTTCCCTCTGTCAACTCTAGCTTACTAGGTGTTACTGAACAGCAAGAGTTAACTGAGCTTCTAAATTCTTACAGAATCTGGATAAAATAAAGTTAACACTAAGAAGGAAAGATATATAAATAAATAAATAGGTGTTTGACCAAAAGTAACAAGTCTACAGTTACACCACTGCTATGAGTGAAACATAAGCTTGTCAGACTGAGGACACAGACCTCGAGAGCCTTTATTTACCCAATCAGTGATTAGACATACTCTACTTTAATAATTGAGACTCAACCAAAATCCAGTCTATAAAGTGTTAATTTAAGATGTTTATTAGTATAATTTATTCAGCACAATGATCACATTAAAATGTCCCAACATACAAAGTGTGGAAGTCTAAATCACAAAAATACAAACTTAGGTGTATGAACAAAGTTATAAAAATATTATTTAAAAACAAAGTTTTCAACATTGGGCCAAAAACAATAAGTAAGAAAGATAAACGTGCATAACAGAAACACCCACTCCACAGTACTGTCTAGCATAGCTGCCTTACCAGTGACATCCTGGGCCACTCAAAGGTGACCATCATGGCAATACAGCATTTCATCGTGGGACTGGCTGCTTCATATGGAACTATATACGAAACATTACATTGATTTCTTCAAAATAAAATATTCAAGTGAAACAAAAGGATCTAACAATACATATCAACTTCTGGTTGCTGATAGGAAATTTTAACAATACCATAAACTCAAAAAAAAATTATTTGGAACAAAAAAATTCAAATAACAATAAACAACCAAACGGAAATAAAAGTGGAATAAACAAACCTTAACCATGAAGTATGAATGTGTTCCAAAAAGCTTCACCCAGGCTTCTCCTTCCTGTCACTTAGGCCACAGGGAAGCAATAGGAAGATATCAAATGCCAACAGTTTCAAAAGCTACTTGGTCCCCAAAATAGCATATTAAACAACTGCACACCAAAGGGAATGATTTGTGTTTTATTTGTTGGTGTCTTCTCCTACAGTAGGAGTTTTCTTATTTTATCAGTTGCTTAGAAGATAAGCAAAAACCCTCCTATAGCATGTTTCCTCAAAGGCCTTCTTGTAAAATCCAGAGAAGGAACTCTTGGCAAAGACGTCTACCCTCACCTTCAGATCCCCAAAGACAAAAGGCTTCCGAAATTCCAAAAGTCACTACAGGTACGCAATTAAAATGTTTTTGACAGTCTAATTCTACAACTTAAATGTAATTTTATGACAGAGGATCTAAAATAATTTGTATTTCAAAATCTTCCTCGAAACATGAACCAATTACTGATTATTTCTTTTAATATAGAACATCATTACCATGGAGGTTGTTTAAAAAAAAAAAGCCTGCATAATCAACAAAATAGGAAGTTTAAGAGTATTTCATTTCCAGACCTTAAATGCACTGCGTTGAAAATTCAATGAAAGCCTATCACTGTAATGGTTTCCAATGGCTCTGTATTTTTAAGCAGTTTGATAATAAGAGGGAGAGTAAGAAACAAATACTGAGGCAATCCTCATAAAGGATGAACAGGAATGCCAACACTCATGATAAAGGACTTTACAAAGAGAACAACCAATTCCACTGACATACTACATAAAAAGGCCACTTCAGAGTTCAGAGGTACTAACACTGAATAAAATTCAAGCCCAGTCAGAAAATCATTTCCCAACAGAAGCCAATTAAATTGGTTATGATTATTAAATGTGTTGCAATTTCCTTTTACACTGGCATTGTTGCACAAAGCTCTTTTTAAATCTGTACCAACATCCCAACATTCTACTATATGATCCAAGAACATCATAACTTACATCTATTTTCTTTAATTTCTCAACTGTCATGATTAGTTACTGCCATTGAAAAATCCATATACAATGATAAAGTTGCCAAATTTTCAGGCAAACCAAAGCCCAGACAGATAATAATTTTGGCCCACCTTGCAAATCACAAAAGATGATTTAACTTGAAGAAATAAATTTCCAGCTTTAATTAGTTATTCTAAATTAGGAAACTAAATTAATTGAAATAGCTATCATTAATCTTGCTGTAGTAGGCTGGAGAGAAACCCAGGAAACTTACAAGACTAATTTTCTCTAAAAGCAAGCCTGCCAAGGGGAAAATGAGAAAGAAGGAAAAGAAATTCAATGCAGTACTGGTGGCCTCCACCCCTTTATGAAGCACATGTTCTCATTTGGTGTTATAGTATCCTGATTTATACTGAGGATTCAAAAATCACAAGAAAAAAGGCAACTGAAATGCTGAAATTAAAGAAAAAATGAGAGTGGGTTAAATGAGAAAATGAATTTTAAAAGAGCAAAACATAAAAGACATTAGGTGATCTTATATAAAAATACTAAAAATAAAGAATTCATGGTGCATTTTGTGTTCACAAAAGGAAAAGGGGTTCCATTAAGCCCTGAAGACACAAGAAGAAGCAGGTGGTTTGCTCAGGCATCAGCAGAAACAGGCCCCGAAGAACTACCCTCAGCTTCTTCTATACCGTGTCCAGGAAGGAAAAGCAAAGCTCTGCAAAATGCTGAAGGTTTTAGAAGTGTAACGGTGCTTAGGAAAGATCACTGGTCTGGTGATGGCAGGAGCCCCAGTGCTGAGACACACTCTAGGCTTCTAGGAGGAGAAAAACAGAAAGGGAGGAAGAAGCAGGAAGGGGAAAGAGAGGGCAGAAAAAGCACAGGTCATTAGTAAACAGCAAGGTCAACATCACAAGATGCTCACAAATGTTTTGTATGCATTAGTAGCTTCTCTGTTCTCGGGGCTACAGATAACATTTGGAGTGAAACAGAAATAGGAATTTTCAAAATAGCACCTAGCTAGTTACCCATTCCAGTTAGTGAGGGTCATATTAGATAGAATAAAGTCATATTATGCTAAAAAAAACATGCGCTTTGCTTCACCCCTTTTGAATCCCACCCCATCCTCCATTAATCATGCACATTTTGAATAAAATACCTGCTTTACTGCAATTAAGAAGTCAAAATGCAGAACCCAAATAACCCAGGTAGGCAAACTGGATTCCACCTAGGGGTGGACAGATGTGCGGACCTGCTCTCATAATGCCACGGAGCAGAAATGGGGAAGATCTTCTCAGCACAGAGAATAAAGGGCCAGGCAACATGCTTTCCTCATTCTTTTTTGTCTACACCATTAAGACCTGGCAGCGGCGACTGACTGCTGCACAGAGTCTGAGCCTGCTGCATTCAGTCCTGACATCCTGCTGGAGTAGTGTTGACAGCTGGTTCCTTCCCAGATGAAAATGGCACCCACTTCCTTCCTCCCTTCTGCTTCACCATGTAATACTCCTACATTCTTATGTGACACAGTGCAGTACTTCAACATGCACAGAGTATAAACTGATCACAGCAGGCAATCAACATTTCCACCCCCCCCCTCTGGAGCCTACTGTCTCCTCTTCCTGGCACCCACTCTTTCAAGCAATCATCTAATCAAACTGATCTCTTCCAACCTTCCTTCCCCCTAATATTGCCATTTGGTTAAAGAAAGCTGATTCAAATGATACTCATTCAAAAACAAATTCATATTCAATTCTCTTCTTTAATCATCTTTAATCAAGTGCATATCTGCATACTTTTTAAAAAGCAATCCACAAAAACAGCTTTGCTTTCAAAATGTACACCATCTGGTCATTGCTACCCATGAATAATATTACCAAAGACATATAAAAACATCAATTCACAAAGCCTGAAGATAAAGTGGTATTCCTAGTTTTCAAAGTTAAAGGACATGTAATCCAAGAGTTTGCTAATGAGGATGCTAATGTCACTGCTTAAAACTAAGACAAGCAATAGAACATCATCAATAAAGCTGAGCTACCAATAAATACCCAGTACTTCCTAGGGCCAAAGAACGAGGGAAAAGTCCAGGAACATCTGTTATTGCTAACACAATGCTTTCTGGAAGCCTGAGAAACCAAGACAGCCTAAAGAGGTTTGAGGTAAGACTTTTCATGGCTGAGCTATGCAAACATGAAGAGAAATAAAAAATCCTACACTTGCGTGAAACAAATACTACACCCTAGTTCAGAACTCTACCACAAACAACAGTGTGCTTGATCATTACAAGGCAACTCACTTGGTCAACAGTGGTAGCCCGAATACATCTACAAGTTAAACCCAGTTATTTATAAAAAGACAACAGGTGACTCTCACATAGGCTACAGGTTGTAGACGACAAATGTCTCCCATATCCTATCAATGAAGACTTCACAAAGTTCACAGGAAACTTGATGAACTACATGTGAATTTCAAAACCTTTTTGCACCAAATGAACATAAGTAATTTTAAGACAGATCAAGCTTTTGTGTGGCACAACTTTAACAAATATGAAAGGATTATCACAGGAAGCTCACTTTCCTCTTCACTGTAGGAGGTTCCACGTGACCAATAACCTCAGGAATAACTTGTGTTTTCCATCAGCAACCCTCCCAAAGGAGCTTATGAAGGGTCCACCCACATACCTGGGGAATCCCAGGACCACTTACCTGTGGTGACATTCGCTCCTAGTCCATGATCACCGTTGGCCAGTACTGTTGCTTTAGAAGATGGAGAACCTGCAGCAGTCACAAAGAATAATTACCTACTGTGACAGACAGATGAAAAGCACAGCCAACTTCTGCCTTCCTAGTGGAACTGCTGTCACTCTTCATAGCTTAAAGCACACGAAAACAACCAGGAACTTAAAGATTCAATAAAAGGTAACAGAGGGGGGTTGGTGTAGGGATGCAGTAGCTAGGCCACAGCTTGTGAGCCACCATCCCAAGTGAGTGCCAAGCCAGCTCCACTGCTGATATACAACTCACCGCTAAAACACTTGGGACAGTGCCAAGAGCCCTGCCACGCACATGCCAGACCTGCATGGAGTTCTGGAGAAAGGGCCAGTCAGTGTAATACAACTCAACCAGCCAGCTTGTAAACTGGAACTCATAATCTGTGGGGGTTTTTTTTAAAAGAATTATTTATTTTTATTTAAAAGACAGATTTACAGAGAGGAAGAGATACAGAAAGAAATTTCTTCCATCTGCACACTCACTCCCTGAACGACCACAACGGCCAGAGACAAGTCAATCCAAAGCAGGAGCCTCTTTCAGGTCTCCCACACGGGTGCAGGGTCCCAAGGCTTTGGGCCATCCCTGACTGCTTTAACAGGCCACAAGCAGGGAGCTGGACAGGAAGTGGAGCAGCTGGGACATGAACTGACACCCATATGGGATCCCGGCATGTGCAAGGCCAGGACTTTAGTCACTAGGCTACTGCACCAGGCCTTAACCCTTAACCCTTAATTTTTATAACCTTTATAACTCCTTAACTATCAGCTTAATACTTCCACCTTTTAGAACTTAATCGTCGTGTCAGAAACCTGGGTGCATCCTAAGATCCTACCCATTTGTACATGGTGCCATGAAGGCACCATCCCCTACCTCACACAGGAGGGTGAAAAGTTGGAGAGGCACCTCTCTACCATAGATGATACTTAGAGGTACCACTTTCTGTTTCTCTTTGCCTATTCATGATGGATATTTCTCTGTGAGAGGAAGCCCAGATTTGTGCATGAATGTCTGCTTATTCACTCACTCCTGCTCCTTTCATGCACATTACTAGTCTCTGCTTAGAACCTTTATCTCTGTGAAAGACAAAAACCTGAACTGGAAATTAATATGTGCATTGCCTGGCCAGCCAATGTTTCACCTCCCTATTACTCTTTCAAATTAATTAGCAACTTCATAAAAAGGAATCTCAGAACCAGAATAGAATCATTAATGCCCATATTGCCAAAGCTCTGTTATGCTTCACTGCATAAAGAACCCTTCCTAAAAGCACACTTACGTTTAGTAAGTTGTCAGAGGTTACCATTAAGTTCAGCAAGGCCATAATCAAGCACCACAGGTTTAGCAACTGAATTCAAACTAAATGCCTCAAAGACCGGCAGTGTAGATGACTGCCTAACCACTCCCACGCGCTGGACTCCAGGCAACTGCCTTACTCTGACACTGAGGACCACACGGGGTCAGCAGCAGCACTTTTAGAACAGCAGGTTTCCTTTCCTTGCAAAGGTATGCTAACAAGGCAGTTAGGTCTCCTCAAATGACTGAGGACACTGGCCATCTTGTTATGATGTGTCTGCCATCCTTTCACTTACTTTCTGTGATGAAGTGAAACGATAAGGATTTTGGTGCTTGATTTTTTTGGTCTATTTTGATTTTGGGGCTATTTTTCAACTGGATTGTTTGGGTTTCCTATTAGAGATTAATTCTAAGTATCAGAGATTTTTTAACTAAAACACTTATCCATTTAAAAGAGTTACACGCACACACACACACACACACACACACACACACACACACACACACAGATATCTTTGGTTTACTCCCCAATTAGCAGCTAAGGGCCAGAGCTGAGTTGGTCCAAACACAAAAGCTTTTCCAAGTCTCCCAGTGGGTGCAGTGGTCCAAGGTCTTGTGCCATTTTTTGCTGCTTTCCCAGGACATAAACAGGGAGGTGGATGGGAAATTGAGAATGTATGAAACATAGAAACTTAACTTGCTATGCCACAATACCTGCCTCAACATTAGCCTTTTATCAAATGAGCTTCACAAATATTTTCTTCCAGTGTTAAACTTACAAGTTATTGATTTTAGACCCAGCACGATAGCCTAGTGGCTGAAGATCTCGCCTTGTACATGCTGGGATCACATATGGGTGCCATTTCATATGGTACCTGCTCTACTTCCCATCCAGCTCCCTGCTTGTGCTCTGGGAAAGCAGTAGAGAACAGCCTAAGTCCGTGGGACCCTGCAGCCACGTGGGAGACCCAGAAGTTCCAGCCTCCTGACTTTGGATTGACACAGTTCCAGTCGTTTCAGTCTCTTGGGGAGTGAATCAGCAGATGGAAGATCTTTGTCTCTCTTCCTCTCTGTATATCTGCCTTTCCAATCAAAATAGATAAATCTTTAAAAAAATTTTTTTGGGCCCGGCGCAGTGGTGCAAATGGTTAAGGTCCTCGCCTAGCATGCCCGGGATCCCATATGGGCACTGGTTCTATCCCGGCAGCCCCGCTTCCCTTCCAGCTCCCTGCCTGTGGCCCGGGAAAGCAGTCGAGGATGGCCCAAAGCTTTGGGACCCTCACCCACGTGGGAGACCCGGAAGAGGCTCCCGGCTTCGGATCGGCATAGTATCGGCCATTGCGCTCACTTGGGGAGTGAATCATTGGATGGAAGATCTTCCTCTCTGTCTCTCCTCTCTGTATATCCGCCTTTCCAATAATAATAAATTTTTAAGATGGATGAAGATGGCCAACTGAGACATGTGTGACAGAATCAGCATACTAACACAGAAATGCTTGAAAAAGCTCAAGATTGTTTAAAATAATCAAGTAATAAAAGAATTAGGAATCAAGAAGAGAAGCTCCAGTGCATGAGAAATTAGGATCAACAAGGAAGCATTATCACACCACATTATATTTCAACAGGCAGCACTGCTGAATCACCAAAGAAAACTAACACCCCAAGAGTATCACATTCAAAGAGAACAAATATCACCGAAGCCAACAATGCAGACATTGCAAATAAATTCTTTTGACAGATTTGTTTATTTTGAAAAACTTACACAGAGGCCAAGTCTTTGATCAGCTGGTTCACTATCCACATGTTCGCAAAGGGAATGGGATGCTGACATCACTACAAGCAGTTCCACTTGCAATATCACAACTCCAATCCCACAAATAAAATGTTTAAAAAGAAAACATCAGGATCTGGTGCTGTGGCATACCAGGTGAAGCCTGCAATACCAGATCCCCATATGTGCACCAAATCAGGTCCTGCCTGCTCCATTTCCAACACAGCTGCCTGAGTTGTCTGAAAAACAGTGGATGACAGTCCAAGTCCTATGGGAAAGACGTTTTTGAGTTGACGTCCTTGGCTGCAGCCTGGTTCAGCCCCAGCTGCTGAGAGCATTTGCAGAGTGAAGCAAAAGATAACAGAATTCACTGGGTCCACCTTGGTAGCCTAGTTGCTAAAGCCCTCGCCTTGCACACTCTGGGATCCCATATGGGCACAGGTTTGGGTCCTGGTTGCTCCACTTTCCATCTACTTCCCTTCTTGTGACCTGGGAAAGCAGTGGAGAATGGCCCAAAGCCTTGGAACCCAGCACCCATGTGCTAGACCGAGAAGAAGTTCCAGGCTCCTGCCTTATGATAAACTCAGCTCTGGCCATTCTGGCCAATCGGGGAGTGAACCAGTAATGAAAGATCTTTCTCCGTCTCTCCTCTCTGTATTTCTAATAAAATTTCACCAAAAAGATGCTGTATCATGTCCTCTCACTAAGTTCCCAAGAAAGAAGATCCTCCTCAACTCATGAAAAATTTCTCCTGGTACATATACCTCTTAAAAATCAGCACAGATTTCCAAAACTAATAACATTTGTCTAAATTACTCAAATCCAAAAGCTTTTTAAAATCTAACCCCTTCTCTTCAAAAGACTGGAGATTCTTTCCCACGGCTCACAAATTTGTCAAAAGGGAATAACTAAGACGTTGTGAGAAAGCATCACAGTAAATCAGTTACAGGATTGGGACATGGGGACCTACAGAAAATTCATCATAGTCAAGTACAACACTGCCCTCTACTGTACCATTAGGCAGGCTACAAGACTTGGCCATGAAAAGGCCAGGCTACAAATTCTTTTTTTTTTTTTAAAGATTTATTATTTATTTTTATTACAAAGTCAGATATATACAGAGAGGAGGAGAGACAGAGAGGAAGATCTTCGTCCAATGATTCACTCCCCAAGTAACCGCAATGGCCGATGCTGTGCCGATCCAAAGCCGGGAACCAGGAACCTCTTCCAGGTCTCCCACGTGGTGCAGAGTCCTAAAGCTTTGGGCCGTCCTCAACTGCACTCCCAGGCCACAAGAAGGGGGCTGGATGAGAAGTGGGGCTGCTGGGATTAGAACCGGCGCCCATATGGGATCCCAGCGCGTTCAAGGCCAGGTCTTTAGCCGCTAGGCCACGCTGCTGGGCTCCAGGCTAGAAATTCTGAATATCTAGTTACCATCTTTCCAGTAGTATTTTAAGGCCTTTCCCCTAGACTTATGTTTTTAGCCACTGACCCAAGTGTACCTAAGAGCAGGCATCTGAAATACAGAGACTAATTTGATGGTTAGTACAAGCATCCCATAATGAAGTCCTTGCTGCTATACTTTCAATCCTGCTTCCTGCTAATGGGTATTGTCGGAGGCAGCAGCTGATGGCTCCAGTACCAGGGTTCCTGCCACCTTCACGGGGGATGCAGATTGAGTTCTGAGCTCCTGGCATATGCCTGTCCCAACTCTAGCTGTTATAGGTATATGAGAAGTAAACAAATAGGAAATTCATCAAACCTTTCATTTTTAGAAAGTATTTCCCCCAAAAGATTCTAATTTAGAAAAAAAAAAAAAGGTAGAACAAGTATGAACAGACAGGTAATTTTAGTAAAACCATGCAAACTATAGGAAACAGTCAAACAAAAATGAAGCTCCAAGCTTCAAGCTCAGGAATATTTTAGCACAGGCCATAGCAGCCATTGGAGGAGTGAACAAGCAAATGAAACATTTCTTTCTTTCTCTCTCTCCTACACACACACACAACTGCCTTTCAAATAAATAATCTTAAAGAAGGAGAAGATATGCAGCCAGTGCCATGGTGCAGTACACTCAGGTTCTGCCTACAGCACCAGCATCCCACACGGCTGCTCCACTTGTGACCCAGCCCCCTGCTTACAGCCTGGGAAAGCATTAAGTCCCTGGGTCCCTGTGTCCACACAGGAAACCCAAAAGAAGCTCCTGGCTCTCAGCTTTGGACTAGCCCAGCTCTGGCCATAGCAGTCATTTGGGAAGTGAACCAGCAGGCGGAAAATCTCTGCCTCTTCCTCAGGAATTCTGACTTCCAAGTAATAAATCTTTAAAAAAAAAAAAACAAAACAGCATACTACATGATAGCTGAAATGTTACACCAGAATAACCTTAGAGTTAAAACTAACCTACAGCTTCATAACCAACACTCAACTACAGTGAGATTTACGTCCTCGAAGCCTAAAAAATTCAAGTAAAGAAAAAGTTACCAGTGAACACTAAAAATTGAGCCAACTAAACTATTGTGAGATTTAGTTCCTTGAAGCCTAACAAATTCAAGTAAAAAGAAAGTTACCAGTGAACACCAAAAATTCAGCTTGGTTTCTTCATGGTTCCCAAGATAATGACCCAAAGCATAAGCTTCTGTTTCCCAAACACACCCATGTATACCCAATGTGGCTGAAACACTTACCTTCAACCTGGTTAGTATCTGAGCAGGCCTTCTTCTTCGACTCTGAGTTCCCTGTTTTCTCATCAACATCCAGGAGAGGAATATAGTCTGTTTTTGCAACAGTTTCTCCCACAACATCTTCATAGGGCTCTGCCTCCAGCGTGGCAATAAAGTCTCGCTTTATCTCCCCCTCAACCTCCGGAGATGGCTCTGTGAGTGCATCTGCCAGACTGAGGTCAGCCATTCTGCAGCACTGCAAAGGCCTGTTCCAGAGAAACAAAGGTGTTTATATGATGAATGCTGCCAAAGGAACATTCCTACAAAGAATCAAACTCTGAAGGTTCAGAGCTAATATTCCCACATTTGAAAAATAAGCTCAGAAATAGTCTTACCCAAGAAAATCCAGTGTTATTTTTTCTAACGCATCTAATGTGCACACAAAATGTCGTTTTTGCCCTTTTCATTAACAATAAGGTGCAAAAAAAACCCACATAACTTACCCCCAAAATTAAAGCCAGTAAAGACTCCAATCAACTCTTTAAATTTCAAATCATACACCATTTCAACTACCTCATAGCTTCTGTTCCTTTATATATCATCTGCCAGAGCAACTTTTTAAGCAATATACAGAGGTCAAAGTAGAATATTTCCATTAAAATAGTTATATTAGTATCAAGCAAGTGAAGAACTTTTTCTTGTTTTTTCTCCCTCCCCTACTTTTTTTCCTTGAAAATTTATCTCCAGAGGAAAGGAAGATACACAGTGAAAGACAAAGAGAAAGGTCTTCTGTCTGCGTCTGCTGGTTCACTTCCCACGTGGCTGCAATGGCCAAAGCTGCGCCCATCTGAAGCCAGAATCATTTGAAGTGATTTAATAATCATATCATTTATGTTTAGTTATATATATTTTACTGGCAAAAGAATATAACAGCATTATTTTCGAATCTGGACATTCAGGAAAGTCTCACTGACCACTACATATACTATTCCTCTTCTGCACATGAGGACAAGAAGTTAACTTTCAGTGGGTTTGCAATGGGAGCAGATGTTTGGCCTAGTCCTGGGGTTGCCTATGCCCTACATCAGAGAACTCAGTTTGATTCCTGGCTTTGGCTGCCGAGGCCAGCTTTCCGCTAGCTCAGACTCCAACAGCCAGCAATGATGGCTCAGGTAATTGAGTTTCTGCCACCTCTGTGGGAGGCCAGGATAGTGTTTCTGGTTCCTGGTTATAGTCTTGCCAGCCTCAGCTGTTGTGGGCGTTTAGAGAGTGAATCAGTAGACAGGAGTGCTGTCTGCCTTTTGCTCCCTCTGAAACAAGCACATTTAAAAAGAGAAAGAAAGAAAAGTGGATTTATAAGTAGAAGGCAAGAGAATCTAAAAGCTGGGTACAGAAGCCTCTGTGATTCATGAAGCACTAGTTTAATCTGACACTCACTATGCCCTTGACTGAGTCACCTTCCGGAACCGAGTTCCTTAATTTGTAAAATGAGACTGTTATGTTTAGTGACTCCCAAGGTTAATTACATTGCAGATACTTACAACTCAGTTTCATCATTCAGTTGAATATAAATAAACTTCATACAGATCCTCAATACAGACGCATAGGATTTTCCAGCAATAACTTGGCTCTGGCATGTTAAAAGGCAAAGGCTTTTTGATAAAATCAAACTCACCATGCCCTGTTTGAATCAATCGGACTGGAGCTTTAAAAACTCCACCCAGTTTTGGCTAGCATCAAAGGAGACTCAGTATCACTGTACCAGAAAATAAATCCCATATTATTATTTAACAAGGCACCGAGAGAACACACAGTTTTCAAGCACAGTAGTTTGGACATCTGATCCTTCGTTATAACCATGTCTGAGGCAAAACTACCTGATGAGAAAGAATTGAAACGAGGTGAAGTAATACAAGAGGAAGTTGAATGACCTCACGATGATGAAGCATGTAACAGGATCTTGGCCTGGTGGCTAAATCGCTATTAATAGTCACATGTTCATAAATAGTAAATAGGAATATGTTCTCTTGTGTATGATTTCCTTTAGACAGATCATAACATTTGAAATTATTAAACTAAAAATAGCTTCCAGGTCTCTACAGATTACATGATATTCGTATTTAATTAGTTTTTGACAATTTTTTAAGCTCCAGGAATGCCTCTTGAAAACTAAAGATCAGTCTGGGTCCAGCCTAATAGCCTAGTGGCTAAATACTGGCCTTACACACAGGAATCCCATATGGGCAACGATTTGTGCCCCCACTGCTCCATTTCCCATCCAGCTCCCTGCCTGTGGCAGGGGAAAGCAGCTGAGTATGGCACAAAGCCTTGGGACCCTGCACCCGCATGGAAGACACAAAAGCTCCTGGTCCTGATAGGCTCAGCTCCAGCCGTGGCAGCCACCTGGGGAGTAAACCAGTGCACGGAAGATCTTTCTCTATATAGCTCCTTCTCTCTGTAAATCCTGCTTTCAATAAAAATGAACAACTCTTTAAAAAAGAGAGAGAAAGAGATAAAACTAAATCAGGTTCTCTGGCTCATTCTGGCTGGCAAGAAATCAGCCATTTAGTTTACAATTAATTTGCTCCAGCCTCTTTCCCCACCTAAGTGACCACTTGAAGAGAGTTGCTATGGATGTAAAGTGGAAAGAAAAAAATCAAGAAAATTCAAGAACAGAAGCTGCTTCCCACAATCAGATTCACTTTTTCCAACACTCACTGGGAATTTCACAGCCTTTTTACTTGATAGGCAGAATTTCTGTGAGAGAGATCTTCCAAACATTGGTCCAACCACCAAATGGCTACTTATGACCAGAGCTGGGCTATTCCAAAGCCAAGAGCCAGTCAGGAGTTACTTCTGGGTCTCTACACACATGCAGTGGCCAATGACTAGGGGCCATCCTTTGCTTTCCTAGGCCATTAGCTGGTAGCTCTTAGCCAGATTTTCAACACAGTTCATCTGTAGGAGTCATCAGACTCTCTTCAAAAATATATAATCTTGAGACCAGCATTGTGCAAAGGGTAAAGCCACTGCATGTGACATAGGCATCCCATATGGACATCTGTCTGTGTCCCAGCTGCTCCACTTCCAGTTCATCTCCGTGCTAATGCTTGGGCTCCTGTCACACGTGTAGAAGAAATAGAAAAAGCTCCCGCCTCCAATCTGGCCCATCCTGGCCATGTGCCCATTTAGCGAGTGAACCAGCAGATACAAGAGCTCTATCTCTCTGGAATTCTATCAAATAAATAGACATAAGAGAGAGAAGGGGAGGAGGGAGGGAGGAAGGGAGGGAGGGAGGGAGGGGGGAGGGAGGGAGGGAGGGAGGGAGGGAGGGAGGGAGGGAGGGAGGGAAGGAAGGAAGAAAGGATGGAAGGAAGGTAGGCAGGCAGTTAGGCAGGCAGGCAGGCTGGAAGGAGACCTAAAAGAAAAAGGAGGTAGTGTTAGGGTCCATGCAGTGGATGTGGGGGACACAGAAGGTGTGAAGAGTATTGTTCCATTGCAGGCAGGGCTGCAGGGAACTTCCCACTGTTTGGCAGGGCCCCGAGGACCTCTCTGCAGCCACCTGAATGCAACTCCACCTTCTTTTGCATGGACACCGGACCACCCTGCCAGGGAATTCCAATCCTTCCAAGCATTGTTTGCTACTGTGGGGCTGGCCTTTTGCTCAGTGTGAGCCCGGAGGTTAATGTAGGTGATAGCATCTTGCAAAGGGGCCTTCTACTATTCCTACTGTCTTGGTTGTCCCCATTGACCTTATGCTAATCAAGGGACCTATATTTAGGCTTTCATTCTTTCCTCATTTTTTAGATTCCCCTTTTCTTTGTGATACAAGATTGGGTTGTAGGGTAAGAATTGTAGCAGGAACTTCTATTGTTTCTGGGTAAAACTAATGGCAGAATTATCCTTAGAAATTCCCAACTTGACCATGACGTAAAAAGTCTGAGCCAAAGTTTGACTGATTTTGTATAAATAAAGCGGACAGCTTTCCTGCATTGTCCACTATGATCATGAAATCATAGTGGTCCGTCTTTCTTTCCTCTTTGCGCCTCCATCCACGCACCCTTCGCAAGTTCGGAACTCAGCTGGAGCAGGACTCCGGCAATGTAGTGCAGTGCAAAGTCAAGCATGGCATCCTTCAAAATGTCATCTCCTGTCCTTGATAGAAAAAAAATTATCTGTGACCTGGATTAGCTTAGAGACAAAATCATGACTTGTAACACTGCTTCTCTGAGACAAATACATTCTAATCTGCAAATAATTAATTTCATGGATAAAAATTCTAATTATTACTAAAGGTTAGAGCCTGCTCACAATGTTCACTTCAATTTTCTTCACTGTATCTTGGTCTTTCAGTAGTAGTATGGGAGTAATAGGCCACACACAACTGCACTGATTACGTAGGCTAATATTTTCATCTATGTATCTTTTTTTCTTAAATGACTGTAACAATTGCGGACAATCAAGAAGCCAATACCAAGCTGCTATTCCAGGACATTATTGAGAATGTGAGAGCCAAAATGCAATGCTCATTTCTCAAGGTTAGAAATAAGCCAGGGGGAGTAGCTGTCCAGCAAGGGAACTCACCCATATTCCCTCTGCCGGCTCCGCTCCCTCCCTTCCTGGTTCTCTAGCATGCTGGTTGGGCGCTGCGGTCCCTTCCGGTACAGGCAACCTCACCTTGGCAATGTGTATTGTGCACTGGTTTTTGTCACGACCGAACCTGGCTCGACCCACACGCTGTTCCGGTGCTCGGATTTGCCAGTGGATGACGTGAACTGATTCAGCCTGGTCTGCCCCCACCCAAGCCAAATGTATGCCAGTGGGTAACTTTCCATAGCCTGTTCTGGGCTATTTCCTATCATGCTTCTTGCGCGTACCTGCCAGGTCTGTGTCCTGCCAGAGGAGTTGCCCAAGCTCCTCCATCAGAACCTCTCCCAATGCCAGATTTAGCGCATACCAGGGAGTCTGTGAGCCAGCCCTACTCAGTCTACCTCCTGTCCTAGCAGGAACAGTGGCTTTTCCTGACTGGCCTTTAACCCAAACTGATTCTTGCTGTTGGATGTTTCAGCCCAGCCATGGCTTGTCCAAAACCACATATAGGTCACACATGGCTCAGTAGGGGTGAGGAAAATAATGGAAAATAGTGGGCTCCTCCCTCTTGGGTTACCACTCCCACGCAAGGGCACGAACACTAGGACAGGGGCTGGGGTGGCTAGACAGAGGCACCCAGCAACATCCGTGAGGGCTGGATAGTTGAGCTAGTTAG